CAAACTGAAGATTATAATTTAAATTTTAGTACTATATATATTACATAATTTCTTAATTTAAAAGCAAATATTAAAAAAACAGACAAACATCGATTTTTGTGTGTCACATGGTATGTTGAATGCAGCACTGGTTCAAATTAGATGTTTGTAAAGTCAAAATACTAAGTCTATAGTTTTTAAAGAATTAGAAACTCAAACTACCAATATTGACAAGCTAGAATATTAAATAAGAGCCTCTTATCTTTTCAATTTTCCAAGCTATTGCTCATGTAATAAATCAAAGAAATGTTTGATAACTATCCAGACATTATAAAGATTTTGCATGTAAAATTTCAAAATTTTCTAATGCATAAAAGTATTTTTAATCTTAAAATGAATATTCTTTTGCATGATAGATAGGCAACATGCAAAAAGAAAAAATAGACACGAGAAAAACATTGCTTTATAAACCGTAAGACTTAATAAAAAAACCTGATATTTTGCATATGAAAGCATTGTAATGTTTACTGATGATCTGCCAAATTTTGATAACATTCGCTTACTAACTAGAAAGTTGAAGCATGAAAACTGTAACAAGCACAAAATGGTTATGAGGTCAGTCCCAGGGATCAAGCCCATGCTGAGAGTTAATTGTTGTGGTTGATGTTGTTTTATTATTATTTTCACCTTTTTAATATGAGCACATTTAGTTATTATAGTTAACTGACATTTGTTCTTTTGTAGTTTTATATTAATTTGTGTTCAAGATTTTTGTGGTATTTTGGTGTTATTGATGTCCCAATATGGTATAGTTCTATATCTTTTGCTTATTATTTTTACCTATACTTTACGGGTATTTCAAAAATAGTAAATTTATCTGCCACTTTTTAAAAATCAATTTATTTTCAATTTACTCATTGTAAAGGTAACATCCTGACATGGTATATATTAACTAATTCCTATCAGCATTTTCAGATAAACATTATTGGCTAGATGGCTTTCATTCGAAATCTTTGTGATGAAACAATAAGACTGTCGAAACTTCTAAATGGGTTAACTATTAAAATGATTTCTGACTTACTAATATTTCATTCACTGTTATGAAAGTATTTGAGTCTTGTCTGTATACAGCTATGGAAGTATGAACATGTAAATGTCTCAATGGTGTTACGGTTTCATTTCACCCTTATGACAAACTTAACGGAATGTACTAAACAACCCCAGTAAAACAACATGACAATTCTGAATTTAAAGGATATGATTGTAACGGTTCTTTAATTCTCTCAAAACAGGCTCGGTCGATTTAAATGACCACATGACTTCTTTGAGCTTGTTTAAAGTCTTTATAGATTTTGATACTACTAACTTTTAATATAGTATGTATATCTTCCCTTTCAAATACAAAAAGTGATATATTTTAGTGAAGTATTTTAAGTAAACTAAAACAAAAGATTTGTCCATGAATATATCAAGTATTTGTTTTGAATAGTCCATGTGCAAAGTGATTTTCATGTTAAGATTAAAAACACTTTTCAAAAATCTCAAATTTCATTTGTATAATCTCTAAAACCTCCTAAATACACTTCAAATGTTTGTTTTAAGTAACACTTTACATTTTATCTGTTATTTTCTCTAGCCTAACTCTATACATATACAGACCTCATAACCACCACAAAAAAACAACTAAATTACCGTTTTTTTCTTCTTTCTGGAAGGATTTCAAATTGTACCATGAAATTACATTTGTTTATCCTAAATAGCTTTACAATGGTAACAGTATACATCTCTACAGTATACCTAAATTTTATTGTTTTATTCTTCTTTGAACTGTGACTAACTACTATTTGTACCATTATAAGTTGTAACTCCCTTGTAGAATGTGGAGCTCAAAATACACTATTGAATTACACTACCCAAGAACTGCTCGAGTGTGTACCTCGTGAAACATTTTTATAATATATTTTACCTAATCTAACTTTAACTAACCTAAAGAGATCTCTATTTTTACATTTTAGTTACTTTTATAATAATAAATAAAGAATAAACATGATAAAATAAGAAATAAAGTGCTTACCAGCTCTTTTTTTTTCCGTTGTTGACTGTAGAGGACACTTAACCCTACTTTTTTATATACTGATAATAGCAATGCACTAAATAATTTTTATTTAATTAAATAATGTATCAAAGAACATAGAATAATAGCATGCAAAAAGCAAACAATTTGCCCTAACTATCACACTTTTTCTGACTTTCTAACTATGTGACAAGAACCCTTACAAATTCATCCAAGCAACTTGTTATCTTTCCCATGGGAATGAAGCTCTTACTAACAGTGAAAATGACAATTCTCTGTTCAGAAAACAAGGTAATATAATAAGTCATTTGATACATGAAAAACCTTGGCTTTCTATTGGTTATACTTAATATAGAATTAAACATAAGAGAGAACTATTAACAATCCTGAAAGAGAAGATGTGACAGGAAGGTGTGGCAAGAGGGGGGTCTGATTTTCTATTTGATTGTTCTATAACCAAACAAAATTGAAGGCTATAAAAATTATGGTTTGTCTGAGCAATGGCAATTTTATAGTGAATAAGTTACATTAAATTTCGTACTTATTGGAGGAGTGGTGAATAAAATCGAGAAAAGGGGGTGCCTAGAAAAAATATGTCACATTTCTCACACTAGGGGAAATTCAAGATTTTTTAAATATTGCCTTATAAAATTAAGAACTTAAAACTTATATCCTATCAAAATGTGGATTATTAGCTACGATTTTATGCTATACTCATTGCTGTAACATAAACAAAAAGTAGTTTAATAAAACTTTGAATGCAAGTCTCTAAAACCTCACGACATACACTGTAATGATGCCCAGGCAGTGAGGGTTAAGGGTTCTTGAAAAAGAATCATATATTCCAGATTCAGAATGATCATGATATAACAATACAATAATTATTATACTTCAGCATGAAGATATTTATATTATCTTGTGTATCTTGATGACTGCAACAATCTTTCAATCTTTCTTAGAATAAACTATGACAATTAATTTTAAGCATTATGAAGTAGGAAGAACGTGCGCTATTTATAACACAGTAATTATCCATTGACTTTTCACATCATAATTTAAATTCTCAAACAGCTGTAAATAAAGAAGTTTTACAGAAAAACTAAAGTAATCCTTTTATAATGTTTCTAATGCAAGATACTTTAATCCTATGGCTTCCAGCACCTTTTAATTACTTTCTGCATATGGTACTCCGTTACATTCAAAATTTAATTAAATCACTTTATTATCAATATATGTTAATGAAATTACCATTATAATGTATGTTATAATTTGAATTTTCATGTTATCTAAATTTTAATTACTTTGTTTTAAATGAAACTTTTCAAAAAAGTAATTGCAGTTTTTGTGTCACTTGATTCATGAGCTTTGAAAATTTTCGACTTCAGCAGCAGTTCACTCTTAGCCACATAAGCATGACCTATTTGACACATCATATCCAAAGTCCTACAACTGTATTCACTTGGAAAGAAATATAAATTTTCCAACCCTTGAAGGGTGCCATGCTCCAATGTACATGAAGTTAGTTGAAACAAGTGTATATAGTCTTTAGAAAGAGCTCAGTTTACACTATACTCTATCAAGGGGTAATTAGCATGCAGTTTTCCTCATGGTGTATATGTAATTGTCATTCATATTGTTGTTTGCTTGATCATCTATAGCATTATGGTGGTTTTTTACCTAATTCTGCTATAGTTGGAGAGAGAGTTAAATTGTATTTAGGTCTTACTCTTATATTTTAGTTAATTATGTATAATGTATTTTAAAAACCATATTTGAATGGTTTCATGATTTTTATAAGTTTAACTTGTCACCTATATGAAAGGTTATAAACAAAATGACACGAATAAGTGCAACCTTGTTTCGGCAAGATGTTTCTGTGAAGAGTCTGCCGAAATATCTTCATAAAGCTCTGTGGGTATCAGTTGATGTATGGACATAAATAATAATAACAAAGAATTTGAAAGGAAAAATTAATATTAAAAAATACACTATGTGAAAAAAATAAAGACGTGAAATTATGCATATAAGAAAAATTCAACTATTCTAGTCTATTTCTATGAAGAGTTGGAAGGTATGTACATATTTCCATTTGCTAATTTAAAACCTTGCATTGTATGTTGACGATAGACATAATTAGTGATATATTAAAGAAAATGGAAAATGAAATATAAATATTTACCTTAAAAAACTTTTGATATCATTTATGAGGTTCTACAGATTATGCAAATGAAATGTGAAAACTGTGACATAAAAAATAGCATTCTTAAACTTCATATAAAAATTACCTTGCAGGTAAACTATTCAAAGTGCAAGTACAAATAACTACATAAATAGTACAAAAAATCAAAATTAAATGTTATATTTTTCTGAAACTACATACTTTCAGGAACACACTTTTCAATTTTTAAATAATTTCACCTTATAGTTTATTTTTTTGGAATGAAATATGATGAGAATGATGTTCTCTACTAAAAATTTAGTTGCTCCTAGTCATAGGATTAAGTCTGGAAATACTTGATACACATGCTTGTTTAAACCAATTGATATCTGCAACTAATGTTAGTTTTCTGCCTTTTGTTTTTCTCTTTTTCTTAGAGTTCTTTTAAGAAATTTTATATTTTTAAAAGCTTGTAACTACATTTATTATTTGAATTTCTATTCTTTTTTAGATGATTTAGGTAGAGCCTTAGTGATGGGCAGAAACTGCTTAGTTCAGCATGACACTTGTGGATAAACGAAGTTTTATAATAATGGAATGTATGAAAAGTGACACGAAAAATGGTGCCAACTCGGTAACTCGTGGCACGATTTTAACAAAACTTGTGTTATTCTGTATCTATTCTCATTTCATTACAAATATGGTGCTATTGTGTGCAGTTTTTGCTGTATTTAATTACAGACAAGCACACAAACAAACAAAGTATATAGATTACATGTAATATATTATTTAAACATCAGTAGATACTTCTACACATCTGGATAACAGCAATGCAGTCACTGCAGAAATTCACACTTTTTACTTTTTGATTAATGGCACTCTCTAAGAACCAATATTTCACACCCTGTATCATTCATGGAACTACTTCCTGCATCAATGATTATGCTTATTCTGATGGCCATGACTGTGTATTATTGCCTGACACAGTAATTCCCACTGTAACACACTCCTTTAATTCTTTCAGCACAAGGTCGGTCCCTGTGACCAACCTCATAACCATTTTGTTCTTGTTAGAGTTTTCATGCTGTTAACTTTTAAATTAGTAAGCATATGTCAATGAAATTTGGCAGTAAACATTACAATGCTTTCATATGCAAAATATCAAATCTTTTATTATATTCTAAGGTTTGTTAAGTAATGTTTTTCTCGTGCCTTTTTTTTCTTTTCACATGTTGCCTATCTAATATGCAAAGTAATTTTCATTTTAAAACTAAAAATACTTTTATGCATCAGAAAATTTTCAAATTTCACACGCAAAATCTTTATAATGTGCAGATAGTTATCAACCATTTCTTAAGAAAAACTATATTTTATCTGTTATTTTCAGTAATTAATCTTTGTATGGGTTTGGTAGATTTGACCGATTTTGTAACCACCATAAAAAATTAGGAAATAGATATAAATTATGCCTCTTTCATTCTAGAATGAAAACAAATTATAACAAAAACATAAATGTTTAGACTAAATACCTTAAATATCATAACATTATACATTTATATATATTCATTGTACTGACTTTTCAGCCATGCCTGGCTAACTATACAGATGTGACAATGATGCAGCATACTTGCTCTCATGTTACTGTATCCAGTAATATAAAACTGATCTTTAGTCTTTACAAGGTGACCTGTCTTGGCTGTGTTTTAGTAGATTAGTATTTTGTAAAATACAGTCACAATTCAATTATTATACATTATATATGTATATAGGTTATTGCTATTTTGAAATAAGGTCTTAAACTTATTTTTCTTAAAACAAAGAACAGTAAATAAAGATGTAAAGGCAACAATTATCTCTTCTAGTTATGACATTTGTACTTGGTTGCTGCTTGACAAGGGTTGCTAAGCCTTTAAAAATTTTGCATGTGGAGGACATGAAACAAAAATTTTTTTAGGTTTTATTTATACATTTGAATAACTTAAAAGTCATAAATTACTACATTAATACCACAGAATTCCACTATACTTTTTCAAGCTTTGTAACTAAGCTGTATTTCAGTCTAAGAAAATATGAAATTTCGAACAGACTAAAGACACAACCTCCCTCCTTGAAATCTTGGTTGAAAAGAAAGAGGTGGCATCCTAACACTTTAAAATGGCCGAGAAAGCCATTTGGGGTACATTCTGATCTTTCGATTTGTTATTCACATTTCAAGTAAGCAAGGGCAATTCCATAAATAGAAAGAAGTGAGTGGGGCTACTGTGTTTGATTCAGTACATGAGAGATATTTCAGCAAATAGAAAAGATATGAGGTTCTTATTTTATATTCTAGCTTGTTAGTATCGGTAATTTGAGTTCCTAATTTGTACGAAACTAAAGACTTAGTATTTTGACATCACAAATATTTAATTAATTAAACCAGTGCTGCATTCAACATACCACGTAACACACAAAAAATTGATGTTTAACTGTGTTTTTTAATATTAGCTTTTAAATTAAGAAATTAGATAATGTATAATACTAAAATTTTAATTATAATCTACAGTTTGATACCAAACTTACTGACATAAATTCATGAAGTAGCAGTTCAATAAAATTTTGAATGCGAATCAACAAATGCGATGACATGGCCTTTGATGCTTGACCTGTCTGGAAAGGGTTAAAGGATGGTGAAGCCAATTTTTGACCACATATCTTTACAAAATTTCCACAGACCCTCCATTGGTAAATGTGATTGCTGCAATTTAAATTTCTTTGGCTATCTTTCTGATGAAAATAGCAAATGATTTTGAGGTGTTGCAGGAAAATTGTGAATATTTTCCTTCTAAGTCTTTGGTAACATCAAACCCTTGTTAACTCAACTATTGGATATGCTCACTTCTACGGAGAATATAGAAGGTTCCTTTCTTCAAAATATAGTACTCTTTGGTACTGCATTGTTTAACAATCTCCTTATAAGAATATACTTTCTTGGAAAAGGGCTGTGATTTAAAACTCCAACTTCAATTTGGTCAGTGTTGGAACTGAACTTAATAAATTTACTGTGAACCAAATTTGTAGGTGCTAAAGTTTCATGTAGATGCAACTGTTTACATCTGCAACAATATGCTCTGCATTAGCATATAAAAATTAATTATATAAAGTGCAATTAAGCTTTTATATTGTAATTTCAAAATTATCTTAGGTTACAAAATGGAAACTTACCTGAAATACCTTGTAAGACTACGAAAATTGTACACAGAGTACATTAATAGTAGTAATATCTTGCCGGGAGTCTCTGAAACACAGACAATAAAGTTTTATTTATTGTATTATCTGAAGAAAAAAACAATATAAATAATTTATGGAACCTTTCCATCCACTTAAATGATTTATTACAACTATGCACAAATATGTGCCATAGAATGTAAATTAAACTTTTGAAAGTTATTTCATCACAAAAGAAAAAAACAGAAGTTTGTATTACGATAATGGTTTTAATTATGGTTCAATATTTTTTATTGCAAATCAATATCACAATTAAATAACATTAGAACATATAATCTAGATAACTAGGGTATTTATACTACTTTCCAAATGAAACACTAATTATCTTGTGCTACAACATGCCTAGAACTCAAGGTTCTGTCGAATTGTCAGATTTTGTTAGAGGAAGGATAGTTGGTCAAGCAGATGGTGGAATAAGTCAGTGGCAAATTTCGCAGTATTTGGGAATCCCGCTTTCGACAGTCAACAGAATCATCGTGCAGTTCAGGAAACATGGCAAGGAAACAAATGAGCAGCATCTGGGTGGTCCTGATCCATCGGAGAGGACAAAAGGGGCTGTCAGGAGAAGCATCAAAATGGATCCCAGATTAACGACTGCAGAAGTGGCCAAAGTTGATGAAATGAGCCAGAAATCTGTTCAACGGATTCTCCACAGATTGGGTTATCGTTGCAGAGCAGCTAGACGGAAGCCCTTTTTA